TCAGCCCTACATAACCCCCTGAGCCTGCCCCACAGACCCCTGGGGGCCACTACCCAGCCCCACATAGGCCCCTCAGCCCCACAGAACATCCCTCAACCCGTCCCCAGACCCCTCAGCCCCACATCCCCCACACAGGCCTCTCAGCCCTACAAGGCGCCCCCACGCCCCACATCTCCCCGCTAAGCCCTTCAACCCCATAGGCCCCACATCTCCCTACAGGGCCCTCCTCATCCGCACAGACCCTTTAGCCCCACATCCCTCCCACACGCCCCTCAGCCCTATAAGGCACCCTCAGGCCCCACATCTTCCCCCCTAAGCCTTTCAACTGCACAGGCCCTACATCTCCCCACAGGGTCCTCCTCATCCGCACAGACCCCTCAGCCCCACATCCCCCCCACAGACCCCTCAGCCCCTCATCCCCCCCACAGACCCCTCAGCCCCACATCCCCCCCACAGACCCTCAGCCCCGCATCTCCCCCACAGACCCCTCAGCCCCGCATCTCCCCCACAGACCCCTCAGCCCCACATCTCCCCCACAGGCCCCACATCGCCCCCACAGGCCCCACATCGCCCCCACAGACCCTCAGCCCCACATCCCCCCCACAGACCCCTCTGCCCCACATCCCCCCCACAGACCCCTCAGCCCCACATCCCCCCCACAGACCCCTCTGCCCCACATCCCCCCCATAGCCCTCTCTGCCCCACAGGCCCCACATCTCCCCCACAGACCCCTCAGCCCCACATCCCCCCCCAGGCCCGCAGGCCGCGCTCACAGGCCGGCTCCGGGCTGGCGCCGCGGGGTGAGGAAGAGCATGCGGGTGGGCCGGGCGGCGCTGGCGTCGGGGTGCGCGCTCCAGGGCTTGGCGTAGCTGTGGTCGAGGCAGACCAGGTCCAGCTCCCGCTCGTGCGCCGACAGCTGCAGCAGCAGCGACGTCCCCATCCTCCGCGCCGACCACTGCAGCTCCCGCTCCCGGTCCCCCCCGCGCTGCGACATGGCCCGGCTACCGTCGCGACATGGCGCGACAGGCCCCGCCTACCCGCGCTTGTCCGCTGCGCATGCGCGGACACACCCCCTCCTCCGGGTCCTGCGCGTGCGCGCGGAGGGTAAAACGCGGAGGGTGGAATAAGGCGGAGCGGAGCGGGGAGGGGAGGGGGTAAAGCGCGGAGAGCGGAACGGAGCGGAGCGGGACGGGGCGGAGCGGAGCGTGCGGTTAGGGATGGGCACAGGGACATGGGGATACAGGGACATGGGGACACGCAGACATGGGGATACAGTGAAATGGGGATATATGGATACAGGGACATGGAGATACAGGGACACAGGGACATGGGGGCACAGGGACATGGGGATACAGGGACATGGGGACAGACAGACATGGGGACACAGTGAAATAGGGATATATGGATACAGGGACATGGGGATACAGGGGCATGGGGATACAGGGACATGGGGGCACACAGACATGGGGATACAGTGAAATGGGGATATATGGATACAGGGACATGGGGATACAGGGACATGGGGATACAGTGAAATGGGGATATATGGATACAGGGACATGGAGGTACAGGGACACAGGGACATGGGGGCACACAGACATGGGGGCACACAGACATGGGGATACAGGGACATGGGGGCACACAGACATGGGGATACAGTGAAATGGGGATATATGGATACAGGGACATGGGGATACAGGGACATGGAGGCACACAGACATGGGGATACAGGGACATGGGGACATAAGGACATTGGGACACATGGACATGGGGATGCAGTGATATGGGGATGGGGGATACAGCGACACAGAGCCACTGGGACATGGGGACATGGGGTCTGGTGACATGGGCACACACAGGGGGACTTAGTGCTACAGGGACACTGGGACATGGGGTTGTGGTAACATGGGGACATACGGACATGGGGACACAGGGACATGGGGATGTGGTGATACAAGGACATGGCTGCAGTGACATGGAGACACAACAGGTACAGAAATGGGGGCTGTGGTGCCATGGGGACACATGGACACACAGAGCTGGGGACACAGGGGGACAGAGACATCTCTGAACGGGAGAGACATCAATTTGATGGATGGAGCACTCGGTGGATAAAGAACGGGCTGGATGGCCGCACGCAAAGAGTCATGGTCAATGGCTCAGTGTCTGGCTGGAGACCAGGAACGAGTGGGGTCCCTCAGGGATCGGGTTTGGGACCGCTCTTGTTCAACATCTTCATCGCTGCCATGGACAGTGGGATTGAGCGCGCCCTCAGTGAGCTCACCGATGACACCGAGCTGTGTGGTTCGGTTGATACCCTGGAGGGAAGGAATGCCATCCAGAGGGACCTCGACACGCTTGGGAGGTGGGCTGATGCCAACCTCATGGAGTTTAACCATGCCAAGGGCAAGGTCCTGCACCTGGGTGGGAGCAATCCCAGGCACAGCTACAGGTTGGGCAGAGAAGAGATTCAGAGCAGCCCAAGGAGAAGGACTTGGGGGTGTTGGTGGATGAGAAAATGAACATGAGCCGGCTTCAGTGTGCGCTTGCAGCCCAGAAAGCAACCGTGTCCTGGGCTGCATCCAAAGGAGCGTGACCAGCAGGGCGAAGGAGGTGATCCTGCCCCTCTGCTCTGCTCTGGTGAGACCTCACCTGGAGCATTGTGTGCAGTTCTGGGGTCCTCAACATAAAAAGGACATGGAACTGTTGGAGCAAGTCCAGAGGAGGCCACGGGGATGATCAGGGGCTGGAGCACCTCCTGTATGGAGCCAGGCTGAGGAAGTTGGGGCTGTTCAGCCTGGAGAAGAGAAGGCTGCGTGGAGACCTCATAGCAGCTTCCAGTGTCTGAAAGGGGCTACAAGGATGCTGGGGAGGGACTCTTCATCAGGGACTGTAGTGACAGGACAAGGGGTAACGGGTTCAAACTGAAACAGGGGAAGTTTAGATTGGATCTAAGGAGGAAATCCTTTCCTGTTAGGGTGGTGAGGCACTGGAATGGGTTGCCCAGGGAGGTTGTGAATGCTCCATCCCTGGCAGTGTTCAAGGCCAGGTTGGACAGAGCCTTGGGTGCCATGGTTTAGTGTGAGGTGTCCCTGCCCAGGGCAGGGGGTTGGGACTGGATGATCTTAAGGTCCATTCCAACCCTGACTGCTCTGTGATTCCATGATTCTATGGGGACCCCTGGGCATGGTAACCAGTAACACAGGTACACATGGGCATGGGGACACCGGGAGATCAGGACACACAGACACCCATGTGGACACAGCAGGGACATGGGCACTCACAGACCTGGCTGCGCAGCAACACAGGGCTGGAGGTACCCAGCAACCCGTGGTGACACGGGTCATAGCAGCTTGGTGCCACCGGTGCCATTCTGGAACGCATCCCAGCACCATGGTGACAACACCCCGGTGACAGAGCCTGGGTGGCATCGTGGCACTGGGGATGTGGCCATGCTGCGGCTGCTGGTGGCCAATGCCCACATCCCCGGGGCCACCGGCTCCGGGCCTGGGCTACACGTGTCTGCCCGCTTCAGAGGTACCGCTGGGGCCAAGGGGGGAACACCCCGTGGTGGCATCAGCCGTCGGGGTGCATCGGGGTGGCATCATGGTGCCGGCCATCCCTGGGGACAGCACCCATGTCCCCCCCCTTGACGTGCCACCGCCGTGTTCCCCTCCCAGGCGTCCCCAGGAGCACCCGGGTGGTGCCAGAGGAGCACAGCCCCACATGGAATGAGGTGAGGTGACCCCCGGGGGGGGGCATGGTGGCACGGGGATGCTAATGGCACCCCACTGAGCCCTTGTCACATTTGTCCCCCCCCCCACCATAGACACTGGCATGGCCACTGGGTGCGCGTCCCCTGCGCCCCACGGCCAGCCTGAGCCTGCGCCTGCGGCACTGGGGCCTGCCGGCATCCCGGGGGTGAGTAGCACCCATGGGTGGGCACCCTGGGGGGACCATCCGTCGTGTGAGCACCCTCACCTTGTCCCCTCTGTCCCTGCAGGGACCTGGGTGCCGCCACGGTGTCACTGGACCAGTTGGTGGCCAACCCCAAGCTGCCGCTGTCCCTAAGCCAAGTCCCGCTGCTGGACCCCAATGGGCAGCCCACGGGGGTGAGCACCCACCAATGCACCCCCCCTCCCCCAGCAGCACCCCAGGGTGCCACAAGCACGGCCTGGGGTGCCACCCGTCCTTTTGCAGAGCACCATCACCCTTCACTGCTCCTACGTCCCCCACGGCAAGGCTGGAAGTGCCACGGTCCCCGTGCAACGATGGGTGCCACCACCAACAGTGTCACCGGTGCCACCCATGCACCCTCCCAGAAAGCCCCCTGCAGGGAGTAAAGAGGAGTTCCAGGTACGGCACCCATGGGTGCAGTGGTACCCAGAGGTGACATCGCACCCGGCGACCACCGCGTCAGCGCCTGTCCCATAGGTACGGGTGAGGATCATCGAGGGCCACCAGCTCCAGGGCAACAACATCAAGCCGGTGGTGACGGTCTCCATCGGCCAGCACCGCTTCAGGACCAGGATCCGTGTGGGGAACAACCCCTACTACAACGAGGTGACACTGGGGAGGGGACATAGGGACGTGCTGCTGTTCCCTCGCTCCACCCTCACCCCCTTTTTTGCCTGTTTTCCAGGTGTTTTGCCAAAGTTTCCACCAGGCACCGGAGCAGCTGCTGATGGAGCCCATCCGCATCCAGGTCCGGGGTGGGATTGGCGGCACCAAAGGGGATGGGGACACCGGGGTGGCCCTGATGCCGTGTCCCCCCTCCTGTCACAGGTGCTGGACTCCAAAGCCATCCGCTCCAAAGCCATCATCGGCATCTTCCAGGTGAGGACACGACTTGGGAATGGGGCATCCCCCCCCCGGTCCCGGTTCAGCTCTCACCCCTTTGCCATCCCCACAGCTGGACGTCGGCACCGTCTACCACGCACCGGGTAGGTGGGAGGGTTGGGGTGACGGCAGGGTGACACCGAGGTGGCAGCAGGGTGACCATGGGGTCTCCCATCACCCCAGGACACAGCTTGAGCTGGAAGTGGCTGAGCCTGCAGGATCCCCAGCGCCCCGACACCGGCTCCCGCGGGTACCTCCGTGTGAGCATGGCCGTGCTCCGTGCCGGAGAGCCGGTGCTGGTGAGCCCCTCATCCCCCCCAGACACCCCATGGATACGGGGTGGGGTGGGAGGGGGGGGGGATCCCCATTGTCCCATGTCCCCTCCATAAGGAGCAGGAGGAGCCGGAGGGAGACAAGGACGTGGAGGCCAATCTGCTGCAGCCACCGCCGTGCGCTGCCACGCTGCAGCTCCGCATCTACCGCGCTGAGGACCTGCCCCTGGGTGGGTCTGGGGGGGGGCTCTGGGGGTTTGGGTTGGTTTAGGGGAATTTGGGGTGGGTTTGGGGAGGGTTTAGGAGGGGTTTGAGTGGATTTTGCAAGGGTTTTGGCGTTGGTTTTGGATGGGTTTGGGGCGGGTTTTGGGAAGGGTTTGGAGATGGGTTTGGGTGGGTTTTGCATGAGTTTTGGGGGGGTTTTGGGTGGGTTTTGGGAAGGGTTTGGAGATGGGTTTGGGTGGGTTTGGTTGGGTTTTGCATGAGTTTTGGGGGGGGTTTGGGAAGGGTTTGGAGATGGGTTTGGGTGGGTTTTGCATGAGTTTTGGGTGGGTTTTGGGTGGGTTTTGGGAAGGGTTTGGAGATGGGTTTGGGTGGGTTTGGGTGGGTTTTGCATGAGTTTTGGGGGGGTTTTGGGGGGTTTGGGGGGGGTTGGATTGATTTTGGGTTGGGTTTGGGAGGGTTTTGAGTGTGTTTTGGGGGGGTTGGGGGAGTGGATTGATTTTGGGTGAGTTTTGGGAGGGTTTTGAGTGGGTTTTGGGGGGGTTTGGATTGATTTTGGGTGAGTTTTGGGAGGGTTTTGAGTGGGTTTTGGGAGGGTTTGGATTGATTTTGGGTGAGATTTGGGAGGGTTTTGAGTGGGTTTTGGGAGGGTTTGGATTGATTTTGGGTGAGTTTTGGGAGGGTTTTGAGTGGGTTTTGGGAGGGTTTGGATTGATTTTGGGTGAGATTTGGGAGGGTTTTGAGTGGGTTTTGGGGGGGTTTGGATTGATTTTGGGTGAGTTTTGGGAGGGTTTTGAGTGGGTTTTGGGAGGGTTTGGATTGATTTTGGGTGAGTTTTGGGAGGGTTTTGAGTGGGTTTTGGGAGGGTTTGGATTGATTTTGGGTGAGTTTTGGGAGGGTTTTGAGTGGGTTTTGGGGGGGTTTGGATTGATTTTGGGTGAGTTTTGGGAGGGTTTTGAGTGGGTTTTGGGAGGGTTTTGGTTGGTTTTGGTGGGTTTTGGGTGAGTTTTGGGTGGGTTTGGGGTTGGTTTTTTGGGGGGATTGGGTTGGTTTGGGGGGGTTGGTTGGTTTGGGGTTGGTTTCAGGTTGGTTTTGGGTTGGTTTGGGGAGGTTGGATTGGTTTGGGGGGGTCGGGTTGGTTTTGGGTTGGTTGGGGGAGGTTGGATTGGTTTGGGGGGGTCGGGTTGGTTTTGGGTTGGTTTTGGGGGGGTTGGATTGGTTTGGGGGAGGTCGGGTTGGTTTTGGGTTGGTTTGGGGGGGGTTGGATTGGTTTGGGGGGGTCGGGTTGGTTTTGGGTTGGTTTGGGGGGTTTGGATTGGTTTGGGGGGGTCGGGTTGGTTTTGGGCTGGTTTGGGGGGGGTTGGATTGGTTTGGGGGGGTCGGGTTGGTTTTGGGGGGGTTGGATTGGTTTGGGGGGGTCAGGTTGGTTTTGGGGGGGTTGGATTGGTTTGGGCCGGTCGGGTTGGTTTTGGGTTGGTTTGGGGGGGTTGGATTGGTTTGGGCCGGTCGGGTTGGTTTCGGGGGGGTTGGATTGGTTTGGGGGGGTCGGGTTGGTTTTGGGTTGGTTTGGGGGGGTTGGATTGGTTTGGGGGTTCGGGTTGGTTTTGGGTTGGTTGGGGGAGGTTGGATTGGTTTGGGGGGTTCGGGTTGGTTTTGGGTTGGTTTTGGGGGTGTTCTGGTTGGTTTTGGGCTCATTTTGTGTTAGTTTTGGGTTGGTTTGGGGGGAGTTGGATTGGTTTGGGGGTTCGGGTTGGTTTTGGGTTGGTTTTGGGGGTGTTCTGGTTGGTTTTGGGCTCATTTGGGGTTAGTTTTGGGTTGGTTTTGGGGGAGTTGGATCTCGAGCACCCCCCCATTGCCAACCTCTCCCCATCCCGGCGCAGCGGAGCCGGCCCTGCAGTGCCTCCCGTCGGTCGGAGGCAAGAGGAGCTTCGTGGCGGCTGCGGTGCGGGCCGGCTTTGCGGGCAGGACGGTGGGTGCGGAGCCATGGGGTTGGGGGGGGGGGAGGCCCGATGCCGCGGTGAGGGGCTCATAGCTCTGACCAACGCAGCTCTGCACCCGAGTGATGCCCCCAGGCCCCAGCCCGGTGTGGAACGAGGTCTTCTTCTTCCCACTGCGGGTGAGGTTCCTCCCCCCCAAAAGGTACCCCAAAAAGTGGGGGGCACCCCCATTTCAACACCCCCCGCCCCCCACCCACCCTGCTTTTGTGTCTTTCCAAAGCTGCCCCCCATCTGTGATGAGATCCAGTTGGCCATCCTCAGTGGGTAAGTGGGGGAACCTCTGCTTTTGGGGCACCCCCCTGGCTTTGGAGTATTCCCCCATTTTAGGGGGACCCCCCCAATTTTAGGGGAACCCCATTTTCTGGGGCATCTCCTTGGCTTTTGAGCACCTCCCCAGGTTTGGGGGACCCCCTTTTTGGGGGGAACCCCCTATTGATGGGGGAACCCCCCATCCCTTTCATTGCCCACCCATAGGCCCCGCAGCAGCAAGGTCCTGGGCACCGCAACCCTTCACCTCTCCCACATCTCCTCTGCCGGTGCTGAGCTTGAAGGTGAGCAGGGTGCACCCTTGGGGGGGGTCCCCAGCACCCAACCCCCCCCCTTTTAAACCCCCCTTTTTCACCCCTAGAGGGGACCCCCGGCTTCTTACCCTGCTTCGGACCCTGCTTCCTCCCCTTCTATGGTCCCCGGGCGGATGCTGCCAGGACATCCAGCACTGTGAGCATTGGCAGGGTGGGGACAGCACCCATTTTGGGGGGGGGGGGACACGACACACGCAACACCCAGCCACCCCCACCCTTATTTTACAGGACACCAACGTGGCTTATCGGGGCCGGGTGCTGCTGGAGCTCAGCACCCATATGGAGACCCCAGATGGGCACCAGCGCGGCACTATTAACTCAGAGGACATCATCCGGGTGCAGGTGGGTGATGCCATCCCCGGGGTCTTTCTGCTTTATTTTGAAGGGAATTTGACCATTTGGGGCTATTTTTCCCCTTTTTTCTGCCCCAGTCTCACTTACCCCGCCACCGGTTCGGGCTCTGCGGGGTCTTCTACTCGGCCACCATGGTACCAGCGGGTCCTGAGCTCCTGCGCTTCGAGCTCAGCCTGGGCAACCACGGGGACACGGGCGATGTCACCTGCAAGCCGGCCGCCTCCGTCACCCCGCACGGGTGTCCCGTCTTTGATGGTGAGCAGGATGCTGGGTGCGATGGGAAGTGCATCCCATGGGATGCTCAACGCCCTCTGGATGCAGGCAACCGCTACCATTACCTGCCGTGGTACGGGGACAAGCCGGTGGCGGCCGTCACCTCGGCTTGGGAGGATGCTGCTCACCGTTGGGATGCCCTAAACCTCCTGCGTTCCGTGTGCCAGCGGCTGGTGAGCACCCATGGGTGATGGGGGGGGGGGGGGTGACCCCCATCTCCACGCATACACATTGGGAATGGTTATGGGGGGAATCCCGACAGGAGAAGAACGTGGTGGAGCTCCGGAGAGCCCCTGGGGACCCCGAGGGGGACATCGGCAGGAGGCTGCTGAGGGAGCTGGCGCAGGACTGCAGGTTAATAGGGGGACATGGGGGTCACAAAGAGGGGGGGACACCCCTGTTTGGGGTGGGGAGAGGGGGTATTTGGGGGGAGGAATGGGGTGTATGGGGGGATCCCCTGTTTGGGATGGGGAAATGGGGTATTTGGGGGGGGAATGGGGTGTATGGGAGGATCCCCCTGTTTGGGATGGGGAGAGGGGGTATTTGGGGGGAGGAATGGGGTGTATGGGGGGTTCTCCTGTTTGGGATGGGGAGATGGGGTATTTGGGGGGGGAATGGGGTGTATGGGGGGGATCCCCCTCTTTGGGATGGGGAAATGGGGTATTGGGGGGAGGAATGGGGTGTATGGGGGGATCCCCCTGTTTGGGATGGGGAAATGGGGTATTTGGGGGGAGGAATGGGGTGTATGGGAGGATCCCCCTGTTTGGGATGGGGAGAGGGGGTATTTGGGGGGAGGAATGGGGTGTATGGGAGGATCCCCCTGTTTGGGATGGGGAGAGGGGGTATTTGGGGGGAGGAATGGGGTGTATGGGGGGTTCCCCTGTTTGGGATGGGGAGATGGGGTATTTGGGGGGGGAATGGGGTGTATGGGGGGGATCCCCCTCTTTGGGATGGGGAAATGGGGTATTGGGGGGAGGAATGGGGTGTATGGGGGGATCCCCCTGTTTGGGATGGGGAGATGGGGTATTTGGGGGGAGGAATGGGGTGTATGGGGGGTTCCCCTGTTTGGGATGGGGAGATGGGGTATTTGGGGGGAGGAATGGGGTGTATGGGGGGATCCCCCTGTTTGGGATGGGGAGATGGGGTATTTGGGGGGAGGAATGGGGTGTATGGGGGGAAAATGAGGAATTTAGGGGATGATGGGACATCAGGGGTAAAAATGGGACAACAGAGGGGAAAATTGGGTTTTTTTGGGGGAAATGGGAATTTGGGGGGGAAATGAGGAATTCTGGAGGACAACGGGGCAATGGAGGGGAAATAGGGGATTTGGGGAAGGAAAATGGGGTATTTGAGGGGAAAATGAGGTCTTGGAAGGAAAAATGAGGCATTTTTGAGGACAATGGGATCTTGAGGGTAAAAATGGGACATGTGGGGGGGAATGGGACAATGGAAGGGAAAATTGGGTATGGGGTGGGGGAAAAGGGGGCATTTGGGGTGGAAACAGCGAAACTGGGATGAAAGCGGGATTTGGGGAGGAAATGGGGCATTTGGGAAGGAAATGGGACACTTGAGAGGAAATAGGGGATTTGGGAGGGAAATGGGGCATTTGGGGGGACAACAGGACTCTTTGTGGGGTGTGAATTGCATTTTGAGGAGGAAATGGGGCATTTTGGGGGTGGAATTGAGCATTTTTAAAGGAAAACAGGGCAACTGGAGGGGAAAGGTGGGCATTTGGGGAAGGAGCTGTGTTCTGAGGGGGAAATGAGGCAGTGAACTGTATTTTGGGGGAGAAAAGGGGTATTTTAGGGGCAGAAACTCTATTTTGAGGGGGAAACAGGAGTTTTGGGGGTAGGAAAGAAGCATTTGGGGGGGAAGAGGGCAACTGGAGTGGAAAACAGGGCATTTTGGGGGCAAACCGTGGTATTTTGGGGGTTGGAAATGTATTTTGAGGGGGAAACAAAGAGTTTATGGGGGAAAGAGCGCAACTGGAGTGGAAAAATGGGCATTTTGGGGGCAAAACGGGGTATTTTGGGGGTCAGAAATGTATTTTGAGGGGGAAACAAAGAGTTTATGGGGGAAAGAGCGCAACTGGAGTGGAAAACTGGGCATTCTGGGAGTAAAGTGGGGGATTTGTGAGTGACAACTCTATTTTGAAGGGGAACTGGGGTATTTTGGGGGGCAGGAGCTGTATTTTGGAGAGGTGGAAATGAAGCGGTTTTGGGGTGAAACGGGGCATTTTTGGACCGAACCGGGGTGCTTTGGGCTGGGGATGTGTTCGCAGGCGGGTGCTGCCGCTGCTGGAGGCTCAGCCCACCCCGACACCGCTGGACACCCATCTCCGTGCCGCGCGGCTCCACTTGCTGCGGCGCATGGCGGCGGCGGCGGCGATGCCCCCGCGGGCCGGATGGGCCACGCTGCTGCCCATGGCCGAGGCCTGGCTGCGGAGCATGGGAGCGCTGGTTGTGGAGGTGAGGATAAGGGGGCAGATGGGGCTCATCGCTGTGATGAGCTGTGGTTGGTCTCATCCTGCTGCAATGGCTGTGGAGGTGAGGATATGGGGGGAGATGGGGCTCATCGCTGTGATGAGCTGTGGCCGGTCTCATCCTGCTGCAATGGCTGTGGAGGTGAGGATATGGGGGCAGATGGGGCTCATCGCTGTGATGAGCTGTGGTTGGTCTCATCCTGCTGCAATGGCTGTGGAGGTGAGGATATGGGGGCAGATGGGGCTCATCGCTGTGATGAGCTGTGGTTGGTCTCATCCTGCTGCAATGGCTGTGGAAGTGAGGATAAGGGGGCAGATGGGGCTCATCACTGTGATGAACCGTGGCCGGTCTCATCCTGCTGCAATGGTTGTGGAGGTGAGGATATGGGGGGGAGATGGGGCTCATCGCTGTGATGAGCTGTGGTTGGTCTCATCCTGCTGCAATGGCTGTGGAAGGGAAGATAGGGGAGGAGATGGGGCTCATTGCTGTGATGAACCGTGGCCGGTCTCATCCTGCTGCAATGGCTGTGGAGGTGAGGATAAGGGGGGGAGATGGGGCTCATCGCTGTGATGAGCTGTGGCCGGTCTCATCCTGCTGCAATGGCTGTGGAGGTGAGGATATGGGGGGAGATGGGGCTCATCGCTGTGATGAGCTGTGGCCGGTCTCATCCTGCTGCAATGGCTGTGGAGGTGAGGATATGGGGGCAGATGGGGCTCATCGCTGTGATGAGCTGTGGTTGGTCTCATCCTGCTGCAATGGTTGTGGAGGTGAGGATATGGGGGGGAGATGGGGCTCATCGCTGTGATGAGCTGTGGTTGGTCTCATCCTGCTGCAATGGCTGTGGAGGTGAGGATATGGGGGCAGATGGGGCTCATCGCTGTGATGAGCTGTGGTTGGTCTCAGCCCGCCACTGTGTCTCGGTCCCCGCAGCCGCAGGCCGCAGTCCCCGACGTGCTGCTGTGGATGCTGCGGGGCGAGCGGCGCGTGGCCTGTGCCCGCATCCCCGCACCTGACATCATGTTCTCCCGGAGCGGCCCCGGCGCCTGCGGCAGGTTCTGCGGGAGGCTCCGGACGCTCTTCCTGATGGTAGGAACCCCATGGCCCCTCTGTGTCCTGTGCGTCCCCTCCACCTCCCCTTTGTGTCCTGTCCATGCCCTCTCCATATCCCCCCCGTGTTCCTTCCATGTCTGCTCCATGTCCCCTCTGTGCTCTTCTATATCCCTTCCATGTCTCCTCTGCTCCCCTCCTGGTTCCCTCTCTATGTCACCTCCATGTCCCTTCTGTTCTCCTCCATGTCCCCTTTCTAGACACTCTCCATGTCCCTGCCACATCCTCTTCCTTTCTGCTCCATGTCCCTTCTGCATCCCCTCTATATCTTCTCCATGTCCCCTCCATATCTACTCCATGTCCCCTTTGTGCCCCAACATAGCCCCTTCATGTTCCTTCTGTTCCACTCCATGTCTCCTCTCTATGTCCCCTTTGTGCCCCAACATAGCCCCTTCATGTTCCTTCTGTTCCACTCCATGTCTCCTCACGATGTCCCCTTTGTGCCCCAATATAGCCCCTTCATGTTCCTTCTGTTCCACTCCATGTCTCCTCACGATGTCCCCTTTGTGCCCCAATATAGCCCCTTCATGTTCCTTCTGTTCCACTCCATGTCTCCTCTCTATGTCCCCTTTGTGCCCCAATATAGCCCCTTCATGTTCCTTCTGTTCCACTCCATGTCTCCTCACGATGTCCCCTTTGTGCCCCAACATAGCCCCTTCATGTTCCTTCTGTTCCACTCCATGTCTCCTCTCTATGTCCCCTTCCACATCCCCTCCATGTCTGCTCCATGTCCCTTCTGTGTCCCCTCTATATCTTCTCCATGTCCCCTCCATATCTACTCCATGTCCCCTTTGTGCCCCAATATAGCCCCTTCATGTTCCTTCTGTTCCACTCCATGTCTCCTCTCTATGTCCCCTTTGTGCCCCAATATAGCCCCTTCATGTTCCTTCTGTTCCACTCCATGTCTCCTCTCTATGTCCCCTTTGTGCCCCAATATAGCCCCTTCATGTTCCTTCTGTTCCACTCCATGTCTCCTCTCTATGTCCCCTTCCACATCCCCTCCATGTCTGCTCCATGTCCCTTCTGTGTCCCCTCTATATCTTCTCCATGTCCCCTCCATATCTACTCCATGTCCCCTTTGTGCCCCAATATAGCCCCTTCATGTTCCTTCTGTTCCACTCCATGTCTCCTCTCTATGTCCCCTTCCACATCCCCTCCATGTCTGCTCCATGTCCCATCCGTGTCCCCTCTACATCTTCCCCATGTCCCCTGTGTCCGCTCAATATCCCCCCATGTCCCCTCTGTATCCCTCCCTATCCCCTCCACATCCCCTTTTTGACCCCTCTATGTCCCTTTAGACCTTCTCCACAGCCCCCCCCCCCCCCCCCGCCATGTCCCCCCCATGCCCCCCTGCCCTCACCCGCCCCATGGTGCGCAGGGCTCCGGGGACATCCGTGCCCAGCTCCGGCTGCGGCTGTGGCTGGGGCCGGTGGCCGACAGCGGGGACCTGCCCCGGCTCATCGAGGGCTCCCTGCGCATCTACGCCGAGACCGTGAGTGCCGGTGGGACACCCCCCCCCCCGCCCCAGGGTACCCCCAGAGCCCCTCACCCCTTCTCCCCCCTCCCCAGTACGAGAACCAGACCAAGCTGTTGGGCAAGTGGGGGCCCCGCGGGCTCCCGGGCTCCCCGTGCTTCTCCGACGGCGCGGGCAGAGCCGAGCTCCCTCGGCACCGCATCCGGCCCCCCAGGGGCTGGCGCTGGGATGGACCCTGGAGCGTGGAGCCCCAGCGCCGGTGAGGCCATGGGCGGGTGGTGACACCCGGGGGGGCCTTGAGCGAGGGTGATGCCACCACCGTTGTCCCCTTGTGGCCCCCCCCCCCCGCCCCAGGCTGCTGCTGGACACGGAGACCAACATGGGCGAGGTGCTGGAGGAGGTCTACGAGAACGAGAGCCGGGGGCCTGGTGGGGACTGGGGACCCGCCACCGTGGCCAGCACCGATGCTGTGAGTGGGGGCCAGCGTGGGGCCAGCAGGGGGGTGACACGAGTGCGTGAGGGCTCAGGTCCCGCTTGGCTTCGCAGAGCGGTGAGGAGGTGCCCCCCAAGGAGGAGGTGCTGTGTCCCCAAGGATGGCACGTCACCGACGGCTGGAGGGTGGATGTGATGGGGGCCGTGGATGAGGCTGGTGAGTGGTGGTGACCCCATAGGGCACCGTGGGGTGGGGGGGTGGTGGTGATGGTGGTGATGGTGACACCGGGTGCCACAGGTTGGGAGTACGGAGCGAGCGTGGCCCCCAGCAGCCCCCCGGCAGCATGGCACCCCACAGAGAAGACCTACCACACACACCGGCGCCGGCGCTGGCTGCGCACCCGCCGCAGGGACCCCGGCGCACAGGAACCGGAGCAGGATATGGCCACCTTTCTGCAGCTGGTCCGGGCTATGGGGACAGGGACAGGGATGCGGTGGTGGGGATGGGGGTGGCAGGGACAGGGGGGAGAGGGATGGGGAGGCGGGATGGGGGTGACATGAACTGGAGTGGCAGGGATGGGCATAACAGGGATGTGGTGGCAGGGATGAGGGTGGCAGGGTGGGGATGAAAGGGGTGAGGGGACAGGGATGAGGGTAGCACAATGGGGATAACAGGGATGTGGTGGCAGGGATGAGGGTGGCAGGGTGGGGATGACAGGGATAGGGGGCACAGGGATGGAGGTGGCACAATGGGGATAACAAGGATGTGGTGGCAGGGTGGGGATGACAGGGATGAGGGGACTGGGATGGAGGTGGCACCATGGGGATAACAGGGATGTGGTGGCAGGGATGAGGGTGGCAGGGTGGGGATGACAGGGATAGGGGGACTGGGGTGGAGGTGGCGCAATGGGGATAACAGGGATGTGGTGGCAGGGATGAGGGTGGCAGGGTGGGGATGACAGGGATAGGGGGCACAGGGATGGAGGTGGCGCAATGGGGGTAACAGGGATGTGATAGGGATGAGGGTGGCAGGGTGGGGATGACAGGGATGAGGGGACAGGGATGAGGGTAGCACGATGGGGATAACAGGGATGTGGTGGCAGGGATGAGGGTGGCAAGGTGGAGATGACAGGGATAGGGGGACTGGGATGGAGGTGGCACAATGGGGATAACAGGGATGTGGTGGCAGGGATGAAGGTGGCAGGGTGGGGATGACAGGGATGAGGGGACAGGGATGAGGGTAGCACGATGGGGATAACAGGGATGTGGTGGCAGGGATGAGGGTGGCAAGGTGGAGATGACAGGGATAGGGGGACTGGGATGGAGGTGGCACAATGGGGATAACAGGGATGTGGTGGCAGGGATGAAGGTGGCAGGGTGGGGATGACAGGGGTGAGGGGACTGGGATGGAGGTGGCACAATGGGGATAACTGGGATGGAGGTGGCACAATGGGGATAACAGGGATGTGGTGGCAGGGATGAGGGTGGCAGGGTGGGGATGACAGGGACAGGAGGGACAGGGATGGAGGTGGCACAGTGGGGATAACAGGGATGTGGTGGCAGGGATGAGGGTGGCAGGGTGGGGATGACAGGGACAGGAGGGACAGGGATGGAGGTGGCACAGTGGGGATAACAGGGATGTGGTGGCAGCGACACGGTAGCAGGACTGGGTGGCAGGACCATGCCTTCACCTACCCACCAGTGCAATGGTGTGAGCATCCCTGTACAACCCCTTGTGCCTGTTGTCCCCCTGCTACGCTGTCCCCATGCCACCCTGTCCCCATACAACGCTGTCCTCCTGCTCCCCGTGCCCGTGTCCCCACAGCACAGAACCGAGTCTGCAGCCGGCTCCGAGGCTTGGGAATACGGATCCTTATGGAGCAGCCGCTTCCACCTGCAGCCGCGGGCGGGCGACGTTTGCCGGCGGCGCTGCTGGCACCGGCACATGGTGCCCGAGCAGCCCCCGCCCGTGGCGCCCCTCTTCCTCCTCGAGGGGTCCCCGGTACGGGACAGGGCACGGGGGGGAGAGCTGGGGGCCAGGGGGTGGAGGGATGGGGGGCCAGGGATGAAGGGATGGAGGATGGGATGGGGGAGGCAGGGACAGAGGCATGGAGGGATGGAGGGAGGGATGAAGGGACAGAGGGATGGAAGGATGGAGGAACAAATAGATGGAGGCATGGAAGGATGGAGAAACAAACGGAAGGATGGAATGATGCAGGGACAGGGATGAAGAAGGGGTGGAGGGGCAGAGGGATCGAAGGATGGATGAGGGAGAGAGACAGAAGGATGGAGGGATGGTGGGGAGGGAGGGAGGAATGTAGGAGGGAGGGATGGAGGGACAAAGAGATTAAGGGGTGGAAGGACAGAGAGATGGAGAGATGGGGGGATGGAGGGAGGGACAAAAGGATGGAGGGATGGATGTGGGATGCAGGGACAGAGGGATGGAGGGATGGATGTGGGATGCAGGGACAGAGGGATGGAGGGATGGATGTGGGATGCAGGGACAGAGGGATGGAGGGATGGATGTGGGATGCAGGGACAGAGGGATGGAGGAATGGATGTGGGATGCAGGGACAGAGGGATGGAGGGATGGATGTGGGATGCAGGGACAGAGGGATGGAGGAATGGATGTGGGATGCAGGGACAGAGGGATGGAGGGATGGATGGGGGATGCAGGGACAGAGGGATGGAGGGATGGATAAGGGATGCAGGGACAGAGGGATGGAGGGATGGATGGGGGATGCAGGGACAGAGGGATGGAGGGATGGATAAGGGATGCAGGGACAGAGGGATGGAGGGATGGATGTGGGATGCAGGGACAGAGGGATGGATAAGGGATGCAGGGGCACAGGGATGGAGTGGCGTGGAGACGGAGCAATCCTGGGGCAACAGGACATGGGGCAGCGGGATGCGGGTCTGGGTGCCAGCAGGTCCATAGGGACCCGCACCCCACATCCCACCCCACACCCTGCATCCCGCCGCAGGGCACGGAGGACACGGCCGGGGAGGAGGAGCCGGCTGCAGAGAAGCGGAGGACATGGGGCTTGCTCCAGCCCGCCCCGAAGCAGCCGCTGCCCCTCATCCTCTGCACCTTCCAGCGTGAGCCCCGGGGGCACGGGGGGGGACCGGGACACCCCCGGGGGGGTCTCAGGCCCCTCTGCCAGCTCCTGCTCTCCCACAGGTCCCAACTTCTTCCAGCTCCGCTGCTACATCTTCCAGGCGCTGGAGCTGTCGCCCCGCGGCACCAAGTCCACTGCAGGTGGGACCCCCCCCATCCCCTGGTGCCCAGCCCGGGGGGGGGCACCCATGGTGCTGATGGTGTCTCTGTCACCCAGACCCCGTCGCCCACGTCTCCTTCGTGTACGTCAGTCAGAGCACACGGGTGCTGCTCCGCACCCTGGACCCGCTTTGGGACCAGACGCTGCTTTTCCACCGGGTGCTGCTCTATGGGGACCCCCGGGGTGTCCAGGATGATCCCCCCGCTGTGGTGGTGGAGGTGTTCGACCAGGATGGAGGGGTATGGTACCCATGGTTGGGGGGCACCCATGGGTGGAAGGAGAACCCATGCCCAAGCGATGCCTTGCAGGGTGCTGGTGATTTCCTGGGGAGGAGCGTGTGCACCCCAGATGTTTGGCTGGATGTGGGGCGCCGGAGGCCCCCCCGGCTCCAGCGTCACCCGCTGCGGGGCTCCGGAGGACCCGCTGGGGAGCTGTTGGCTGCTTTTGAGCTGCTGCAAGACACCGAGGTGAGGGGCTGCAGGGGGTGGTTTGGGGGGGGAAGGCACCCAGGTGATGGGTCCCATCGTCATCGTGGTGTCCCCACCCCCGGCAGGATGGGGCCCTGGCGCAGGTCAGCTCCCCCCCTTGGAGGCAGGGGGTCTTCAGTGTCCCTATGGGTGTGCGGCCACTCCTGAGGCCGGTGGCATTGGAGGTGAGAGACAGGGACAGGGATGAGGAAGGGGATGGGATGGGGTCAAGGGTGGCTGGGAATAAGGACACGGATTGGTACAGGGTTGAAGACAGGATGGAGAAGGTCTGGGATGGGGAATAGGGTGGGAACAAGATAGGAAAAGGGACAGTGATGGGATGGGGAATGGGATGGGAACAGGGATGCAGGTAAAATGAGGATGTGGTTCAAGATGGTGATTGGAAGTAGAACAGGCTGGGGACAGGAACAGGATGAAGGTTGTGGGGCAGGGAACAAGGACAGGGATGAAGGCAGGATGGACAAGGTCTGGGATGGGGAATGGGGTGGGAACAGGGATGGGGAAAGGGATGAGGAAGGAGATGGGGATAAGGACAGGGAGAGGGATGGGGAGAGGGCTGGCTGGGGACAGGACATGGGTTGGAACAGGGATGAAGACAGGATGGACAACGTCTGGGATGGGGAATGGGGTGGGAACAGGGATGTGGACAGGAACGGGACAGGGATGGGGACAGAGATGAAGGTCCTGGGGATGGGGACAAGGACAGCGATGAAGCCAGGGCCTGGTACAGAGGGATGAAGACAAGAGAAGGATGGGGCCGGGGCAGGCACAAGGGATGGGGCCGGTACCCGCGGTGCCGGGGGGGTGACAGCGCCGGTGTCGTCCCCCCCTTCCCCAGGTGCTGGCGTGGGGACTGCGGGGGCTGCGCGGGAGCGTGCGGGCTCCCAGCCTGGAGGTGCAGTGCGGGGGCCGGGTGCTGCGGACCCCCCCCATCGCCGACCCCGCCTCCAACCCCAACTTCCCCATCAACGCCTTCCTGCTGGTCCTGGTGAGCGCGGCGGGGGGAGCCCCGCACGCCCGGCGCTGCCGCGGGCACCGGGGCTGACGCTGAGCCTGCCCGCAGACGCTGCCCCTGGAGGAGGAGCTGATGCCGCCCGTGCGGCTGCGGGTGCTGGACGTGCGGGACTTCGGGTACCGGCCCGAGGTGGGGCAGACGTGTGTGCGGGGGCTGGGGCAGCACCGCGGGCGGCCCCCCTGCCCCCGGCACGGCTCCGGTACGGCTCCTGCCCTGCCCCAGCCCACCCCATTCCCATCCCTGCCCTGCCCTGTCCCATCCGCACCAACCCGTCCCCACCTCATCCCATGGCTCCTGTATGGCTCTGCACAGCCCTACTGCCTCCCTCTCCAGTCCTATTCCATCCATCCATCCCATCCCACTTCGTCCCATCCCATCCATCCCATCCCACTTCGTCCCATCCCATCCATCCCGACCCATCCGCCCTACCGCATCCCATCCCATCCACCACATCATGTCGCATCCCTCCCGACCCATCCATCCTACCGCATCCCATCCCATCCACCACATCCATCCCACCACATCATGTCCCATCCATCCCAACCCATCCATCCTACCGCATCCCATCCCATCCCATCCACCACATCCATCCCACCACATCACATCCCATCCTACCGCGTCCCATCTATCACCCCCCATCCCATTCCATCCCATTTCATGCCATCCATCCCATCCACCACATCCATCCCACATCACATCCCATCCCCCCCCATCCCATCTATCACCCCCCATCCCATTCAATCCCATTCCATGCCATCCATCCATCCCAACCCATTCCATTCCATCCCATCCATCCCATTCCACGCCATCCATCCCGTCCCATTCTACTCCATCCAACCCATCCATTCTATTCCAGCCCATCCATCCCATTCCATCCCATCCTACTCCATCCAACACATCCATCCTCTCCCACCCTATCCCTGCCCCATCCCAGTCATCACATCCATCCCACCCCATCCTGCCCCATCCCTGCTCCATGCTCCCACCTCCGGGATGGTTATTCACCTCTCTGCTCCCCACAGCCGCTCCTCGGGGCAGGATAAATTGGGTGAGTCCCTGGATCCATGGCACCCCTGGACACCGGGGGCCCATCCCCGTGCCTCAGTTTCCCTGAGCAACCCCCTTTGCTGCTGCAGCTGCTGCCCGGGATCATCAGCAAGACGAAGGCTGAGGACAAGGTGGGCACAGGGATGGGGACACCGGGGACACCGGGGACACCCTGTCCCTGTCCCCACCTCACCCCGCTTCCCGCAGGCAGAGGAGGAGGGTGAAGGGGAGGAGGAGGATGACTGGTGGAGCAAGTTCTATGCGGCCATGGGGGACAAGGCAAAGAGCCGGCGGGGGACAAGCAGGGACAGCCTGAAGGTGGGGCAGAGCCAGGGCGCTGGAGTGGCGTGGGGATGGGGATGGGGATAGGGATAGGGATGGAGATGGGGTGGGATGGGATGGGAAAGGGGTGGTTGAGGACAAGGACACAGATGGGGAGAGGGATGAAGATCTGGTAAGGATGAAGTGAGGGATGGGAACAGGATGAAGAGGGCAGTGATATGCTTGGGACAGGACCGGGATGGGGACAAGGTCAGGGATAGAGATTGAGATGGGAACAGGATGAAGAGGGCAGTGATATGCTTGGGACAGGACAGGGATGGGAACAAGTTCAGGGATAGAGATTGAGATGGGAACAGGCTGGGGACAGGGACAGGGTTGAAGATGAGATGAGAACAAGGACAGGGATGAATGTGGGACGGGGACAAGGATGAAGAAGGGGATGGGATGGGATGGGGTGGGGTGGGGTGGGATGAAGCACCAAAATGGGGCTGGAAACAGGAAGAGGGCAGGAATGAGACGGAGGATGGGGATGAGGATGGGAATGGGGATGAGGTTAAGGATGGGGATGTGGATGGGGATTTGGACAGGAATGGGGACAAGGATGAGGATGGGAATGGGGCATAAGGATGAAGATGGGAATGGGGACAGGGATGAGAATGGAGATGGGGATGAGGATGGGGATGGGGATGAGGATGGGAATGGGTATGAGGTTAAGGATGGGGATGTGGACGGGAATGGGGACAAGGATGAGGATGGGAATGGGGATGTGGACAGGAATGGGGACGAGGATGGGAATGGGGGATAAGAATGAGGATGGGAATGGGGACAGGGATGAAAATGGGGCTGGGGATAAGGATGGGGATGAAGATGGGAATGGGGATGGGGATGAGGATGGGAATGGGGATGGGGATGAGGATGGGAATGGGGATGGGGATGAGGACGGGAATGGGGATGATGGTGGGGATGTGGATGGGGACGGGAATGTGGATGGGGATGAGGACGGGAATGGGGATGGGGATGAGGATGGGAATGGAGACAGGGATGAGAAAGGGGACGGGGATGAGGATGGGAATGGGAATGGGGATGGGGATGGGAATGGGAATGAGGATGCGAATGGGGATGACGGTGGGGATGTGGATGGGGACAGGAATGGGAATGGGGATGGTGATGGGAATGGGGATGAGGATGGGAATGGGGATGAGGATGGGAATGGGGATGACGGTGGGAATGGGGATGAGGATGGAAATGAGAATGGGAATGAGGATGGGGATAGGGATGGGGATGGGAATGGGGATGACAGTGGGGATGTGGATGGGGACAGGAATAGGAATGGGGATGGGAATGGGGATGCTGGTGGGAATGGGGATTAGAATGGGAATGGGGATGAGGATGGGAATGGGGATGGGGTTGGGAATGGGGATGAGGATGGGGATGGGGTTGGGGTTGGGAATGGGGATGAGGATGGGAATGGGGATGCGAATGGGGATGGGGATGGGGATTAGAATGGGAATGGGGATGAGGATGGGAATGGAAATGGGGATGGGGTTGGGAATGGGGATGAGGATGGGAATGAAAATGGGGATGAGGATGGGGATGGGGATGCGAATGGGGATGGGGATGGGGACGAGGACAGTCCCGGCCCCCAGATCTACAGCTGCGAGCTGGAGGCGGTGCCGGAGTTCGAGGGGCTGCAGGATTTCTGCCGCTCCTTCCCTCTGTTCCCGCCGGGAGCACCCGCGGCGGGGGGGGAGGACCCGCAGCCGGTGGCCGAGTTCAAGGTGGGTGCGAGCCCCCCCGCCCTGCAAAGGGCCCCGGTGCCGGGCCCGGGGCACCCCGCGGTGCTACGGCCGGCGGCTCCCAGGGGCTCTTCCACGTGTACCCCCTGCCCGAGGACCCCGCGGAGCCGCCGCCGCCGCGCCGCTTCCAGGACCTGCCCCCCAGCCAGCCCCAGCGCTGCCTCGTGAGGGTCTACGTGGTGCGGGCCTTCGACCTCCCCCCCCGCGACAGGAACGGGCTGGTACGGGCACCCCTAGGCGCTGGGATGGACCCCCCCGTTCCCCCCATGCCGCCCTGAGCATCCCCTCCTGCTGCAGTGTGACCCCTACGTCCGTGTGTCACTGGGAGCCGAGACGCTGGGGCAGCGGGACCAGTACGTGCCCAACACCCTGGAGCCCGTGTTTGGGAGGTACGGATGGGGTGGGTGGCATCGGGCTGGGGGCACTGGCAATGAGAGGAGGTGCCCAAGGGGGGTGTTGGCCCCCATCCCCATGTCTCTGTGTCAGTTTGTCCCAGGTCCCCATGTCACTGCGTCGCCGTGCCACCACGTCCCCATTCCCCATCCCAGAAGGTGCTTGATTACTCTGCCATCAGGTCTCCATTCCCCATGCTCGTGGGTCCGTGCCATCAAGTCCCATTCCCCACACCAGCGGGTCCCCATGCCATCAGATCCCCATTCCCTATGCTGGTGGGTCCATGCGCCACCAGGTCTCCATTCCCCACACCTTCAGGTCCTCATTGCCCCATTGCCCATGCTGGAAGGTGTCCCTGCCACCAAGTCCTCATGCAACCAAGTCCCTGTGCCAGCAGTCCCCATTCCCACATGTCCCCAGTCCCCGTGCCAGTGGGTGCCAGCCCCAGCACTGGTTGTCACCCCCACTGCCAGGCTGTTCGAGCTGATGGGCACCATCCCACTGGAGAAGGACCTGCGGGTCTCACTGCTGGACTATGACCTGGTGCCACCGGACCAGGAGATCGGCACCACCACCATCGACCTGGAGAACCGGCTCCTCTCCCGCTTCCGCGCCCACTGTGGGCTGCCCGCACTCTACTGCACGTGGGTGACACATCAGGAGGATGGACCCGGGGCTGGAATGGGCATGAGGGGAGATTGGGATGGGATCTTGGGCAGCTCTTCCCTTGTCATTGGTGGGACACTGGAATGGGTTGAATGGAGAAGCTGTGGCTGCCCCATCGCTGGCAGCGTTCAAGGCCAGGTTGGAGCAAGCTGCTCCAGTGGAAGGTGTCCCTGCCCATGTCCCTGCTTCCAACCCAACCCATTCCATGGTTCTATGATGAGGATGGGAACAAGGGGGTGAAGCTGTGGTGGGAACCCGCACAAGCTGAGGGGTGACTCTGCATTGCCCCATTGTCCCCACAGCGCCGGCCCCGGGTGCTGGAGGGACCAGCTCCCCCCCAGCCAGACACTGGAGCACTTCGCCCGCACCCAGGGGCTGCCGGCACCCGAGTTCAACGCCGAGGGCACCGCGGTCACCTTTGGGGACCACAGATTCCTCCTCAGCCACTTCGGTGGGTGCTGGGGCCGGGGGGGGGGGGGGGGGGGCAGGGGGCTGGACCCTGCCCTTGGTGACGGCTGCACCCTGCAGAGAGCGGCCCCCCCCAGCACCAGCACCCTGGGGTGCCCCGCGAGCGCCTGGCCCTGCACGTGCTCCGCGCCTGCCACCTCGTCCCCGAGCACCTCGAGACGCGCACCCTGTACAGCAGCACCCAGCCCGGGCTGGAGCAGGTGGGGAGGGGGTGATGGAGACCATTGGGGTGTCAGGGAGGGACACCGGGGTGATGGGGCCTTGGGGTGCAAGGGGGTGACAGGGGGATGATGGGGTCCTCATGGTGATGGGGCCTTGGGTATAAGAGGATGTCAAGAGGACAACATGGGGTGATGGGGAGTATAAGGGATGCCAGGGAGACAATGGAGACCTTGGGGTATAAGGGGATGCTAGGGGTACAATAGGGAACCTTAGGGTGATGGGGACCCCGTGGCAGGGAGGGATGCTGGGAGGGGTTAATGGAGACATGACAGGGACCCTGGGGTGATGGGGACAGTGGGGTGATGAGCACATGGCCAGGGTGGCACCCTGGGGACATCGGGGTGACAGGGAGCCCAGTGCAGGGGGGGATGCCAACGGGATGGTGCGGGGGGGGGGGGGGGGGGGGGTGACAGAAGACCCCAGGGCACCCAGGGGTGCTGCGGACACCCTGGGCTGCCGCTCCCAGCCCCCTCACTGTGTGCAGGGCAAGGTGCAGATGTGGGTCGATGTGTTCCCCATCAACCTCGGCCCCCCGGGCCCCCCCGTCGACATCACCCCCCACAAGCCGCAGAGGTGAGAGGACCCCGCTCTCTTCCAATGCCCCATGGACGGTCCGGGCCCACGCCACGGGGGGGTTGGTGACAGTGACACCTCCTTGTCCCTGTCGTCGTGTCCCGTCCCCCCCCCTCCAGGTACGAGCTGCGCTGCGTGGTCTGGAACACGCGGGACGTGGAGCCGGGGGACACGAACCTCCTGGGGCAGCACATGAGCGATATCTACATCACGGGGTGAGGCGAGGGCCGCGGCGGGGACGGGCCGAGAGGGGCTGGGAGCCGGGGTGAACCGAGCGCCCTGTGCCCGCAGGTGGCTGGCGGGGCTGGAGGAGCAGCGGCAGAGCACGGACGTGCATTACCGCTCGCTGGACGGGGCCGGAGCCTTCAACTGGCGCTTCGTGTTCCCCTTCGAGTACCTGGCGGCCGAGCAGCGCTGCGTGCTGCCCGCCAGGGTGAGGAGCGGAACGGGAAGCCGGGAGGGGACGGGACGGGACGGGGACACCTCGTGTGACCCCTTCCTCTGTGCACCCCTGCTGCCACAGAAGCATTTCTGGAGCCTGGATGAGACGGTGCAGAAGGTGCCCCCGAAGCTCATCCTGCAGGTGTGGGACAACGACAAGTTCTCGGCTGATGATTTTCTAGGTGAGAGCCGGCTCCTGCCCCCCTGCTTCCTGGGGATGCCCACGGGGGATGGGGAGCACCTACAAGTGGTGGGGAGCATCCACAAGTGATGGGGAGCACCTACGAGTGGTGGGGAGCATCTATGGGTAAGGAAGAGCACCTACAAGTGGTGAGGAGCATCCACAAGTGATGGGGAGCACCTACAAGTGGTGGGGAGCATCCACAAGTGGTGGGGAGCATCCACAAGTGATGGGGAGCATCCACAAGTGATGGGGAGCACCTACAAGTGGTGGGGAGCACCTACAAGTGGTGGGGAGCATCCACAAGTGGTGGGGAGGGAGCACCTACAAGTGGTTGGGGAGCAGCCACAAGTGGTGGGAAGCACCTACAAGTGGTGGGGAGCATCCACAAGTGGTGGGGAGCATCCACAAGTGGTGGGGAGGGAGCACCTACAAGTGGTTGGGGAGCAGCCACAAGTGGTGGGAAGCACCTACAAGTGGTGGGGAGCACCTACAAGTAATGGGGAGCACGCACAAGTGGTGGGGAGCATCCACAAGTAATGGGGAGCACCTACAAGTGGTGGGGAGCACCTACAAGTGGTGGGGAGGGAGCACCTACAAGTGGTGGGGAGCACCCACAAGTGATGGGGAGCACCTACAAGTGGTGGGGAGCACCCACAAGTGATGGGGAGCACCTATAAGTGGTAGGGAGCACCCACAAGTGATGGGGAGCACCCACAAGTGGTGGGGAGCACCTACAAGTGGTAGGGAGCATCCACAAGTGATGGGGAGCACCCACGGGTAATGGGGAGCACCTATCAGTGGTGGGGAGCATCCACAAGGTTCTAGGAGCATCCAAACATGACAGAGAGCACCCACAAGTGATAAGGAGCACCCATGGGTGATGGGAGCACCCAGTAGTGATGGGGAGCATCCACGAGTGAAGGGCAGCACCCGCAAGTGATGAGGAGCATATATAAGTGAGGGGCAGCACCCACAGGGGATGGCAGCACCCACAACTGATAAGAAGCACCCGCTAGTGATGGGGAGCATCCATAAGTGAGGGGCAGCACCCACAGGGGATGGCAGCACCCACTAGTGATGGGAGCACCCACAACTGATAGGAAGCACCCGCTAGTGATGGGGAGCATCCATAAGTGAGGGGCAGCACCCACAGGGGATGGCAGCACCCACTAGTGATGGGAGCACCCACAACTGATAGGAAGCACCCGCTAGTGATGGGGAGCATCCATAAGTGAGGGGCAGCACCCACAGGGGATGGCAGTAGTGAGGGGCAGCACCCACAACTGATGGGAAGCACTACTGATGGGGAGCATCCATAAGTGAGGGGCAGCACCCACAGGGGGTGGCAGCACCCACTAGTGATGGGAGCACCCACAACTGATAAGAAGCACCCGCTAGTGATGGGGAGCATCCATAAGTGAGGGGCAGCACCCCACGGGGGATGGCAGTAGTGATGGGAGCACCCACAACTGATGGGAAGCACTACTGATGGGGAGCATCCATAAGTGAAGGGCAGCACCTACAGGGGATAGCAGCACCCACTAGTGACGGGAGCACCCACAACTGATGGGAAGCACCCACTAATGATGAGGAGCACCCATAGGTGAAGGGCAGCACCCCCGGGTGATGGCAGCACCCACAACTGATAGGAAGCACTCACTAGTGATGAGGAGCATCCACAACTAATGGCAGCACCCATGGGTGATGGGAGCACCCACAACTGATAGGAAGCACCCACTAACGATGGGGAGCACCCATAGGTGAAGGGCAGCACCCATGGGTGACGGCAGCACCCACAACTGATAGGAAACACCCACTAACGATGGGGAGCACCCATAGGTGAAGGGCAGCACCCATGGGTGATGGGAGCACCCACAACTGATAGGAAGCACCCACTAACGATGGGGAGCACCCATAGGTGAAGGGCAGCACCCATGGGTGATGGGAGCACCCACAACTGATAGGAAGACCCACAACTGATAGGAAGCACCCACTAACGATGAGGAGCACCCATAGGTGAAGGGCAGCACCCATGGGTGACGGGAGCACCCACAACTGATAGGAAGCACCCACTAACGATGGGGAGCACCCATAGGTGAAGGGCAGCACCCATGGGTGACGGCAGCACCCCCACTGAGCAGCCGCCCTCCCTCTCCGTGCCCCCAGGAGTGCTGGAGCTGGACCTGACGCGGCTGCCCCGGCCCGCGCTGCACCCCCGGACCTGCTCCCTGCCGGGCACCCCCCGGAGGCGCTGGCCCTGGCCCTGGGGGGGCCGCGGACCCCCCCTTGCGTGTCCCTGTTCCGGCAGCGGCAGGCCCGGGGCTGGTGGCCCTGCGTGGCGAGCAGCGGCGGCGAGCGGCGGCTCTCGGTGAGTGCGGGGCCATGGGCTCGGAGCCTGCGGCCGCAGCTCCCCCCGCCCCACACAAACCCCCCCCCTCCATCACCGCAGGGGAAGCTGGAGCTGAGCCTGGAGCTGCTCACGGCGAAGGAGGCGGAGGAGCGGCCGGCAGGGAGAGCCCGGCAGGAGCCCAACATGTACCCAACGCTGCCGCCGCCAGTGTGAGTGCTGCGGGGAGCGAACGGCTTCAGGGTCACCCGCTCCAACCCTTACCCAGCACTGCCACGGCCACCACTGACCCATGGCACTGAGGGAGTGTGAGCACTGCAGGGACGGTGACTGCAGCCCTGCCCTGGGCAGCCTGTTCCAATGCCTGAGCACCCTCTGGGGCAGGAATTGTTCCTCAGCTCCATCTAAACCTGCCCTGGGGCAGCTTGAGGCCGTTTCCTCTTGTCCCATCCCTTGTTCCTTGGGAGCAGAGCCCAGCCCCTCCTGGCTCCATCCTCCTCTCAGGCAGTTGGAGGGAGCCATCAGGTTCCCCCTGAGCCTTCTCTTCTCCATCTGACCCCCCCCAGGTCCCTCAGCCCTTCCCCATCACCCTTGTGCTCCAGGCCCTGCTCCAGCCCCATTGCCCTTCTCTGCCCCCCCTCCAGCCCCTCAATGTCTCTGTTGTAGTGAGGGGCCCAGAGCTGAACACAGGATTTGAGGTGCAGCCTCACCAGTGCCCAGTGCAGGGGCGCAATCCCTGCCCTGGCCCTGCTGCCGCACTGGTGCTGCTCCGGGCCAGGATGCTGGGGGCTGCCTGGGCACAAGCTGCTCGTGCTCAGCTCCATCACTCAGCACCCCCAGCTCCTTCCCCACGAGCAGCTCTCCCCAAGCCATGCATTGCAGGGGGTGTCTGAGCCGGGTGTCCCCGCAGGCGGCCCGACTGGTCCTTCCTGTGGGTGCAGGCGCCGCTGCGCACCCTGCGCCATGGGCTGTGGCGGCAGCACCGCGGCTGCATCAGCCTGAGCCTGGCACTGCTGCTGCTCTTTGCGCTGCTCCTCACCTTCGTCTACGCCGCGCCGGTGAGCACAGGAGGCTCAGCCACCCCCTTACCCCCATCACCATCCATTGAGTCCCCCCCCCGAGCTCCTTTTGTGTCTCCCCACAGGGTTATTTGGCCATGAAGCTGGTAAACCCATTCCAGGGCTTGCACATCGGTGGTGAGGGCGGCATCGGCAAGCACCGTGCAGCGGGTGCTGAGCACCACAAGGGTGCTGCTCACAAACCCTGATGTGCCACCCCGGGATGGCAGCATCGGTGTCACCTCTTCAATAAAGCCACATGCAGCAAGGGGCAAAGCAGCGTCCCCAGGACATTGGGGGAGAAAAGGAGCTGCTCCAGCTTGGGGAGCGCAATGGCACTGGGGTGCAACCCCAACTTGCTATGGCACCCAACAGCAGGGCTGTGGGGAGAGAACGCTGCATGCAAGGGACAGGGGGGTGACATCAGCCCATTGTGTTATTGACCTCAAAGCTCCTCCAGCTCCAACCCCTGCCACGGGCAGGGACCCCTTCCACTGGAGCAGCTTGCTCCAAGCCCCTGTGTCCAACCTGGCCTTGAGCACTGCCAGGGATGGGGCAGCCACAGCTTCTCTGGGCACCCTGTGCCAGCGCCTCAGCACCCTCCCAGGGAAGAGCTTCTGCCTAAGAGCTCATCTCAGTCTCCCCTCTGGCAGGTTCAAGCCATTCCCCTTGGCCTGTCCCTACATCCCTTGTCCCAAGCCCCTCTCCAGCTTTCCTGCAGCCCCTTCAGGCACTGGAGCTGCTCTCAGGTCTCCCCTTCAGGAGCCTTCTCTTCTCCAGGCTGCCCCAGCCCAGCTCTCTCAGCCTGGCTCCAGAGCAGAGCTGCTCCAGCCCATGGCCTCCTCTGGCCTCACTCCAACAGCTCCAGGTCCCTCTGGTGCTGCTGCCCCAGGGCTGGATCAGGGCTGCAGGGGGGCTCTCCCCAGAGCACAGCAGAGGGGCAGGATCCCCTCCCTGAGCTGCTGCTCACACAATCACCCACCATCACCCACTCTCACAGTGTCACACACACACCAATGTTTATTCTGAGACACCAGAACAGCTCCAGGGGCAGGCACCCACGTTTCACTCCTGGTTGCGAGGCAAAAAGAGAACAAACCCCAGGAAAACTCCTTCTACCCCACAACCAGTGCTGGGCACTTGGGAAAAGGCTCCCACCCACAGCCCCGTGTGTGCCCCCCACACTCTGGGATCCCCACAGGGATCCACCCTAGCTGCGAGGGTCCTGGAATCCCCAGGATGCCATCGAGGAGGGTGCTGCAGATTTGCCATCCTGATGTCCTCAGAGCCATTAAAGGCTCCCCTAGGACAAACTGACCTAACGTCTCCTGGATCCCTCTGGGGACCACTCTCTTGTGCTGGGGGGCCCAGGGGTGAGAGTGGATGCGACAACCAGCAAGAGAACACCAAGAAACCATTGACCAAAGCAGTCCCTGAGGTAGGATTAAACCACAACTCCCTGAAAGGCAGCAAAAGCTCCGGCTCCAAGGCAGGGAGAACCCTTGGAGGAGCCCTGGGATGCAGCGAGCACCGAGGGGAAAGCTGCCAGAAGCCACGACACGACATGCAAACGGCACCGATGCAGGGATCCACGTACAAAGAAAAGCTGCCTGGGCTCCACCGCCAGCCTAAGGCAGGTGACAGAGCAGCCAGAGCGGGGTGAAGAGCTTGGAAAATCCCTCCTGGAAGTGGAAATCGCTTGGAGAGAAGAGGCTGGGAGGGAAGGAGGGATCTGGTGTGGAAACAGGCACTGGGCCGGGCCCTGCTCGCTGGCATCCCCCAGAGCCCAGGTGAGGACTCCTGCCCACGTCCTGACATCCTCCTGAACAAGTCCCAAAGCAAAGCTCCCTCAGGAGGTGGCAGCTCCATCCCTGCAGCCATCACAGGATCCCAGCTCCCACCAGGAGCAGCACTGGAGTTCTGGAGCCCAACAAGAAGCAGCAGCCGTCCCAGTGGGGGGGGACGGGGACACAAAGGTCCCTGCCATGGGGGTCAGTCCATCACGCTCTGGCCAGTCTGGGAATGGTGGGAGGCAGGAGGTGGCTAGCAAGGACTAGCCATGGGCTATCCCAGGGTATTCCCAAGTCAATAGAAGTGTTTCCGGCTCTGCTCCTGCCACTTGTTGTAGATGATGACCCCGATGACGATGGCAAAAACGATGGCAACGAGGGAGAAGAAGACGATCAAGAAGAGAGCCAGGCCACTCATGGGCTCCAGCGGTGCCTCCACTGGGAGAGAGAGGAGGGAAACCAGCCCGTGAGCACCCCAAGAGCCCAGCACCCCAGGAACCCCTCCTCAAGGCCAGGTTGGACACAGGGGCTTGGAGCAAGCTGCTCCAGTGGAAGGGGTCCCTGCCCGTGGCAGGGGTTGGAGCTGGAGGAGCTTTAAGGTCCCTTCCAACCCAAACCATTCCATGATTCCAGGTGGAGCTCAGCCTGTTCGCTCTCAAAATGCTGTGGCTTCTCCTCCACAACCCTTCGAGTCCCTAGGGCTCCCCCCTTCCCCTGTGTGGGACCAGCAGCTCCTACTCACTTCCTGGCAGCTTCAGGTTGTCCACGACGGGCAGATAGACCTCCCTGTCCCGCTTCTCCTCCTCCGGGCTCCTCTCCACTGTCAGCTGGTAGAGCTTGAGGGAGATGATGTCGTGGTTGTCTGCAAGCAGAGCACAACCACCACGTCCTGAGGCACCGCTGCCAGTGCCAGCTCTGGCCAGGGACTGAGGGCCTCAGGCAGCACCACGGGATGTTATCACCTGGGACAAAGGTGCTGCTCTGCCTTCCCAAGGTGGGCAAACTCACCTGCAGAGGGCAGGATCTATGCTGGGCTCAGCTGGGCCCTCAGCCAACGGGAACCTTTAAGCTAAAGTGAAACCCACCAGCCCAAAGTGGGATTAGCCCATCAGGCACCCGAAGGGAAGGTGTTAGCATCGGCCTCACGGGGCCCTGTGCTCGTGCTGGTGGGGCTGTTAGTGGGACAAGGCGAGGGCTCCGCACCAGCTCCCCGGGCACCAGGCAGGGATCTGGGAGAGAAAAGGAACTGCTGTTGGAGCCAACAATGGCCTCAGACCCCCAGAGATGCACTTCTGCAGAGGCAGAGCTCAAATCAGGCTGAAAACGTGCCCAAAGAGGCCCAGTGGGGTAACAGCAGAGCGCACAGCACCTCAACCAGCACCACGGGAGAAGTATTATGCAGAGGAGGGTGAAGGGCTGCAGCTTTAGGTCCCTCCCTCAATTAGGAGCAGCTCAGAGCTCCCAGGATGTGAAATCCAAAGCAAGATACCCCCGGAGCAGAGGCCGAGAGGGAGCCCTGTGGCTGCAGCGAGGGCCGTTCCTCCCAGTGCTGCCCTTGGGGTTAACCCAGGCACCATGGGCTGTGGCAGGAGAGTGGAGGAGATTCCTTTTCCGTGCTCATCCTGCTTTCACTCCTCCACAGGGGCTTGTTTTGGAGACTGAACCCTCTGGCTGAGCTGCTGCAGCCGCTTGGCTGCACTCCTGTTGGCTGAGCTTGGGCCGTGCAGGGAGCTCAAGGAAAGTGGGAAGCGCTGCCTAAAGCGAGCACTCAGGGGAGCAACACACCCAGAGCAGGCTCTGGGTTCTTCAGGAGCTGCTGCAAGCTAAAACCAACGCTTAAAGGTGTTGAAAGCACGGACAGCTCCTCATTTGCTTCCGTAAGCACCCAGCTGCACCTCCAAAGCTGCCCAGGAGCTGCTTGGGAAGCAAGGTTTGGGACCCCAGGGCAGTACCTGAGAGGTCTCCAGTGACAGAAGACGTCCCAAAGTAGTAGCCACGGGGCAGGCGCACGCCCGGCACGTCGATGCAGTCCCTCCACTCGTGCTTCCCGTCGATATCAATCAGGACCTGAAGCAGAAGCAGGTCCCTGAGGCCTTGCCGTGGCCCCGCTGCCCCGTGGCGCCGGGCTGGCAGCACTCACCGTCAGCCTCCTCTTCACGTAGCGGATGACCAGGAAGGTGTCGTGGTTGAGGTTCCTCACCATGGCCGTGCAGCCCCCCAGCTCCGTCGGGCGCCCGTCCCGGTCGTGGTCGTAGGTGAGGGAACCGTTGTTCACCATGGCCGAGATGTAGGGGAACACACGCTGCCGGGAGCAAGGCTGGGGCTGAGCTCTTGGGTCGACCACGAGCCAGCAGCCCTATGGAGCCCAAACTCCTTCATCCCACCAAGGATCTGCCTCAACACGACACCAGCACGATCCCGTTCCATCCCTTGGACGTTCAGGAGGGAGGACGGGCGGTCTCATGCAGCCTCTCCCAGGTGGCAAAGGGATTTCTGGAGCTCAGAGGAGGGAATTCCTCAACTGTGAGCCAAGGTGAGACTGGACAGCTTGGGAACGGGAAGGTCAGCAAGAGGAAGTACCTGATTTCCCGGGCTGTACCTCCTCTTCTGAGCCTGCCAGTCCAGGGTTATCGTAAAGCAAGAAAGAGCACAGAAGCAAGATGGTCACAGACCAGAGTTTAGCGTTAACCTGCAACCTGGACGCTTCCTCCCTGGAATGCTCAGCTTAGCAGAGACTAAAGCAGGGAGGGCTTTAGGTGTTAGGGGCTGAATTCTGAGCCACACGGAGAGGGAATGGTGCTGGGGGCTGAAAGCCACGTCAAGAGTTGCCGTGTTTCTCCTCCTCACCACGCGGCAGCTCACCCACACAACAGAGCCCCAACAGCAAGAGCAGCTCCAGTGCCTGAAGGGGCTGCAGGAAACCTGGAGAGGGGCTTGGGACAAGGGTCTGTAGGGACAGGCCAAGGGGAATGGCTTGAACCTGCCCGAGGGGAGACTGAGATGAGCTCTTAGGCAGAAGCTCTTCCCTGTGAGGGTGCTGAGGCGCTGGCACAGGGTGCCCAGAGAAGCTGTGGCTGCCCCATCCCTGGCAGTGTTCAAGGCCAGGCTGGACACAGGGGCTTGGAGCAAGCTGCTCCAGTGGAAGGGGTCCCTGCCTGTGGCAGGGGTTGGAGCTGGAGGAGCTTTAAGGTCCCTTCCAACCCAAACCATTCCAGGATCCTATGATTCCACACATGTGAAGAGTGCTCCGTGCCTGACCAGAGGAGGGCAGCCCTCTCCAGGTGCCAGGAAGCCAGACACCCACATTCCACTCATGATTTCCTTTAAGGAAGACCCATTGTGCATCCCTTTACCCCACAAAAGCAGCTCTGCCACTGCAAGTCACCAGGACCCACCCAGCACTAACCCCATTAACAAGGCACCAAATGGCTCACAAAGGCTTTTACAAGCACAAAGTCCACCCCTGCACCAGAGCTGCTGCGTTGGGTTCCTCAACAAAAGCTGGTTGTTCCTCAGCATTTCTCAGCAGCTCCAAGGTCAGGGCACATCCCAGCTGCACCTTTTGTCCCTTTCGCCAGGGTGAGCAGTGTTAATCCCACTTTGGGATCAGCACCAAGGTCTTGGGGTACAACAGTGCCTATGTTTTAGGGAAAACTGGCATTAAAACCGAGTCCAGCTTTGGGTTTGGAGTGATAAAAGAGATTCCAGGGCAAGGCTTGGTTTTAACTACCTCTGCACTCCCTTCTCCATAGGAACCCACACCAATAAACCTCCAACCAACCACCAGACACACCAGGAACACAAAGACCTTCAGAAGGGCGTCTTCCAAAGGGGCAGAGCCCAGTCCCACTGCACCAGAGAGCAGGGAAAGCCTCCTGGGTGCAGCTGCCATGAAACAGCCCCGTCAACGCAGGCAGGGCTGGGCTGGCAGCTCAGGAACCGCTCTGCTCAAGCTCTACAATGCTCTTGGCACAGCTTCACCTCTGCTACCGCTTGTGGCAGGCTCCAGAAGAGGCCGGGAGCTCAGCACACGGAGGTGGGATCGTCAGGCAGCTGGAGGGGGTGCTCGCTGCCTCCCGAGCTCAGGGAAGAGCCGTAAGCTCAGCTCTGCCCCTGCAGGCAGCTGGCGGGCAGCGCGGTTCCGTTGGCTCCTAGCTCACCTCATGCTGCTTCTCCTCGTTTGGGTAGGTGTCCACAAACACTCCCAGGCCCAGGAAGTTATCCTTGCTTCCAAAGACAGGTCCTAGGAGGGAGGAGAGGCTCTGGTTAAGGATGGCAAAGCCAGGCAGGCGTTGCAAAGGGGTTGTTACTCATCATGTTATGTAAAGAGGAAGCCTTGAGCAGTGACTAAAGCACACAGGGCAGGCAGGGAAGTCAGAGGGGCAGCTGAAATGCCTTTCCCTTTGCTGCTCAAGGACTGAGCTTCCTCCACAGCCTGGCTTTTAAGGAGCTGACTCCCAGTGCAGGAGGCTCCACACTTCCCATTACACTGACCCCAAAACGAGCACAAAACAACCCCAAAGCCCTGCCCCCCAACCTGATTCCAGCCTCCCAGTGCCTCTGCATGAGCAGCAGCTCAGGGAGGGGATCCTGCCCCTCTGCTGGGCTCTGGGGAGACCCCCCTGCGGTCCTGACCCAGCTCTGGGGCAGCAGCACAAGAGGGACCTGGAGCTGCTGGAGCAAGGCCAGAGGAGGCCACGGAGCTGCTGTAAGGCCTGGAGCAGCTCTGCTCTGGAGCCAGGCTGAGAGAGCTGGGCTGGGGCAGCCTGGAGAAGAGAAGGCTCCTGAAGGGGAGACCTGAGAGCAGCTCCAGTGCCTGAAGGGGCTGCAGGAAAGCTGGAGAGGGGCTTGGGACAAGGGCCTGTAGGGCCAGGCCAAGGGGAATGGCTTGAACCTGCCCGAGGGGAGACTGAGATGAGCTCTTAGGCAGAAGCTCTTCCCTGTGGAGGATGCTGAGGCGCTGGCACAGGGTGCCCAGAGAAGCTGTGGCTGCCCCATCCCTGGCAGTGTTCAAGGCCAGGTTGGCCACAGGGGCTTGGAGCAAGCTGCTCCAGTGGAAGGGGTCCCTGCCCATGGCAGGGGTTGGAACTGGAAGATCTTTAAGGTCCTTTCCAACATAAACCATCCCCTGAGAAGGAGGCACATCCCTGACACCAGCGACAGCCGCTAGAGCCGCTCTCACCTGGCTGCATGCGATCCTTGGTGTACCAGATGGCAAATCCATCCCCGTTCAGGTTCTTCTTGCCTTGCCCATGGATTTTGAAGTGCACCTGCATCTCCCAGTCCCGCAGGTAACACGGCTGCAAGCAGAGGAGCAGGGATGGGACCCACGGCTTCTGTGCCCACGAGGGTTAGGGGACAGACACCGCCACGGCTGCAGCATCCCCTGCCTGTCACAACAGCTCCATGTGCCACTACTCCATGCTTCCCTTGCCATCCCATAGTTTCGTTGGGAGCAGTAAGTAATCCCAAGGGACATCATTAAACCAAGGGAATCGTTTCAAAGGGGGAGGAAAGGAGGGCCAAAGGGGGAGGAAAGGAGGGCCAAAGGGGGAGGAAAGGAGGGCCAAAGGGGGAGGAAAGGAGGGCCAAAGGGGGAGGAAAGGAGGGCCAAAGGGGGAGGAAAGGAGGGCCAAAGGGGGAGGAAAGGAGGGCCAAAGGGGGAGGAAAGGAGGGCCAAAGGGGGAGGAAAGGAGGGCCAAAGGGGGAGGAAAGGAGGGCCAAAGGCAAAGCAACCTGCCTCAATATGATATGTCACTAAATCAGAGCATGAGGGACCACTTTGGTCTCCTGGGGTGTTTTCCAAACCCCTGTGGAGCACGGCTGGATCCTGGGGCACCACATCCCCATCGCTATCATCCCACATTGAAACGAAATGGAATCATCAAGGAATTCAAGGGAGCTCTGCTGCGTGCCGGGTGACACACCGCACCCGTGACCACATCACGCTGCTGCTGCTCCACCAGCCCCACAGACCTGGGCATGGCAATGGGAGCAGCAGCTCCAACCACAGCGACCCCATGGGAGACCCCAAGCACCCCCAATGCCCATGGGGTGGCTCAGCCCTTGCAGGAGCCACCACGCCAAAGGGGGGGCTGCAGTGGTGCCAGCTCTGACCCCCACAGCTCTTCCCTGCCCCACTCTACAACCCCAGGCAGCTTCCCTAATACCCTTCAATCCCCCCCCCAAATCCCCTCATACCCTCTGGCTTGGGCCCCCCCCTATTTTACCCCTTCCTGCCCTAATACCCCCCAAAACCCTCTCTTTAGCTCAACCCCTTCATCACCCCCCCGTTCCTGCCCACACCCTGCACCCCTTACTCACAATCCCCCCAAGCCCTCTGGTTCAGCCTCCAGCCCCCTTAAACCCCTTCCCAAGGCCCCACTTCCCCTATGCTCACCCCAGCCCCCCCCCCCAACCTGCTCTTAACCCCTCCCCGACTCCCCTCACCCCCAAATGAAGACCCCAAGGTTCCCCCCGGTGCTCACCACTCGGTTCCAGACGGCTCCCTGCTTGCTCTGCACGTCGGGGGTGAGGCGGATGAAGTGGGTCATGACCATGGCGTTACCCTGCAGGTCCCACAGCCCCGAGCTTGCCGAGCCCACACCTGCGGCCCACAAAGCACTGTCGGTACCGGATACCGGGCACCGGGCACCTTCCCCCAGCGCCCTGCCCTGCCCCACTCACCTGGTAGGGTTTGGAGAGCGAGTGCTCCCGCTTGAGGTGCTCCTCCGTCTGCTCGGCCCGCGGCCCGCCCAGCGCCAGCAGCACCAGCACGGCCGCGCACCGGCCCGCCGCCGCCATCTTGCCCCCGCCGCCCGCGCTCCGCCCCGCCCCGCGCCGCCCATTGGCCAGCTCGCCGCGCCGAGCTCGCTCATTGGTTGCCTCGCCGAGGCCCGCCGGAAGCGGGTTGGAGGAGAGGACTGTCAATGGAGAGGAAGGGGCTGCGCGCAGGGGCTGATGGGTAACTTCTTTCTGGCTGCCTTAAAGAATCCGCGCCGGCTCCTGGCGTGCAATGGCCTGAAGTGCGCGACCCGGCCTCCTAGTGCCCCCCTCCTCGGTCCTAATGCCTCCTTCCCGCGCCCCCCAGATCCTAGTGCCCCCCTCCTCGGTCCTAATGCCCCCTTCCCGCCGCCCCCCAGATCCTAGTTGCCCCCCTTACCCCAAGTCCTAGTGACCCGCCTCGGTATTAGTGCCCTCCTCCCTGGTCCTAGTGTCCCTTCCTGCCCCCCCCCCAAACCCTAGTGCCCCCCTTACCCCAGGTCCTAGTGACCCTCCTCGGTCCTATTGCCCCCCTCCCTGGTCCTAGTGCCCCTTCCTGCCCCCCCCAAATCCTAGCGTCCCCCGTACCCCGGGTCCTAGTGCCCCTCTCCTCGGTCCTAATGTCCCCTCCTGCCCCCCCCAGATCCTAGTGCTCCCCTTACCCCAGATCCTAGTGCCCCTCCTCTGTCCTATTGCCTCCCTCCTCGGTATTAGTGCCCCCCTCCCTGGTCCTAGTGTCCCCTCCCGCCACCCCCCCCCCTTAAATCCTAGTGTCACCCTTCCCCCAGGTCCTAGTGCCCCCCTCCAGGTCCTAATGTCCCTTCCCCTGTCCTAATGACCCTCTCCAGGTCTTAGGTCCAGCCCCCCCCCCCCCCCCCCCCCGATTCTAAAGCCCTCCTCCCCAGGACTTAGTGCCCCCCTTAAGCTCCTGCTCACCCTAGTTTCTCCTGCACCCCACACACCCACCTTGCCCCAGGGGGGGCTGAACTCCCACCTAATGGATACCCCTTTGCCACCCCTTCATTCATCCACACTTACGGGCCCCACCATCCCGGTTCTGCCATCGCCCCTTTAAGGCGCCTGTGGCTGCGGGAGGGTGCGACGCAGCCCCGCTCGGGGCGGGAAGGGGGCGCGGCGTGAGGCGGTTGCGAGACGCCAACATGGCGGCGGGCGGCGGCGGCGGGGTCCGCTCGGTCCCCTCTGTGCTGCTGCTGCTGCCGCCGCCGCTGCTGCTGCTGCTGGCGCTGCCCGGCGCCGCCGCTGCCGCCGTGTCCCGGACGGCGCCTCCGGACGGGTCCAACGTGGTGCTGGGGATGCGGCTGGAGGAGAGCACGAAGCCGGTGCCGGCGGCTCCGTCCCGCGGGCCCATCCGTGTGACGGAGGGCAGCGAGCTGGTGCTGCGCTTCTACGGGCAGGGCCTGGGCCCGGGCACCGGGGAACGGGTGGCGTTCGCCGAGCTCCGCCCGGCCGAGAACGGTTCTGCCCCGAACGGCTCCTGCTCCTATCGCACCCAGGACGTGGTGGTGCAGCCGGGCCCCGCGGAGCTCTTCGACACCTCGGCCCTGCTGCGGGTCCGGGTCCGCGCCCTGCGGAAGGGCGAGAAGGTAAAGACGTACGTGTTGTGCACGCAGCGCCGGGCCGGCCAGGCCTGGCTGCCCCATCCCGACCCCGACGCCTGGCTCATGGTGCTGGAGGAGAAGAAGTCGCTGTTGCCGCTGTGGCTGCAGGTGATCCTCATCGTGGGGCTCCTGGTGCTGTCGGGCATCTTCAGCGGGCTCAACCTGGGTCTCATGGCGCTGGACCCCATGGAGCTGCGCATCGTGCAGAACTGCGGCACCGACACCGAGAAGCGTTACGCCCGCAGGATCGAGCCCATCCGCCGCAAAGGGAACTACCTGCTGTGCTCCCTGCTGCTGGGCAACGTGCTGGTCAACACCACCCTCACCATCTTCCTCGATGACCTCATCGGTTCCGGCATCGGCGCCGTCGTCGCTTCCACCATCGGCATCGTCATCTTCGGGGAGATCGTGCCCCAAGCGCTCTGCTCCCGTCACGGCTTGGCCGTGGGCGCCAACACCATCGTGGTGACCAAGTTCTTCATGCTGGCGACGTTCCCCCTCTCCTACCCCATCAGCAAGCTCCTCGACTGCATCCTGGGCCAGGAGATCGGCACCGTTTACAACCGGGAGAAGCTGGTGGAGATGCTGAAGGTGACGGAGCCCTACAACGACTTGGTGAGGGAAGAGCTCAACATGATCCAGGGAGCCCTGGAGCTCCGCACCAAGACGGTGGAGGACGTGATGACCCCGCTGCAGAACTGCTTCATGATCAACAGCGACGCCATCCTGGACTTCAACACCATGTCCGAGATCATGGAGAGCGGCTACACCCGCATCCCCGTCTATGAGGAGGAGCGCTCCAACATCATGGATATCCTCTACGTCAAGGACCTGGCTTTCGTTGACCCTGACGACTGCACCCCCCTCAAGACCATCACCAAGTTCTACAACCACCCCGTCCACGTTGTCTTCCATGACACCAAGCTGGATGCCATGCTGGAGGAGTTCAAAAAGGGTAAGGGGGTGCCGCTGCTTCCCTGGGGTGCTGCTGGCTCCATGGGGTGCTGCTTGCTCCCATGGGGTGCTGCTGGTTCCGTGGGGTGCTGCTGGCTCCATGGGGTGCTGCTTGCTCCCGTGGGGTGCTGCTGGTTCCGTGGGGTGCTGCTGGCTCCATGGGGTGCTCCTGGCTCCATGGGGTGCTCCTCGCTCCATGGGGTGCTGCTTGCTCCCATGGGGTGCTGCTGGCTCCATGGGGTGCTCCTGGCTCCATGGGGTGCTGATTGCTCCCATGGGGTGCTGCTGGTTCCATGGGGTGCTGCTTGCTCCCATGGGGTGCTGCTGGCTCCATGGGGTGCTGCTGGCTCCATGGGGTGCTCCTGGCTCCATGGGGTGCTGATTGCTCCCATGGGGTGCTGCTGGTTCCATGGGGTGCTGCTTGCTCCCATGGGGTGCTGCTTGCTCCCATGGGGTGCTACTTGCTCCCATGGGGTGCTGCTCGCTTCCATGGGGTGCCACTGCTTCCATGGGGTGCTTCTCACTCCCACGGGGTGCTGCTCACTTCCGTGGGGTACTGCTGGTTCCATGGGGTGCTGCTGCTTCCCTGAGGTGCCGTCCATGGGGAGCAGGTTTTGGTGAAGGCCACAGGACCCCGGGGACACGGTGCTGGGCACAGGCAGCTGAGCCAGGAGCCTCCCTTTCTCTGCCCGTGGCCAGCACCAGCCCCAGGAGCCACTTTGGGAACGGTCCCTTGGGTTTCATCACCAGCCCTGGAGGCCCTTGGATAGAAAATGAGAGCTGGGAAATTGCTGGGCTCCCAGGTCTGGGCTTGGCTCCTTCCTCCCAGCCCCATTCCCGCTCTGCTTCCTGCTCATGGGGCTGGGAGCAGGAGCTGAGCCCTCCGGGATGTGCTTTCAGGCTGGGAACCCCCCTGCCCTTCCCAGCTTCCAGTGTGGGAGCGGGATGAAGTGAAGATCCTGGCTGTGGTGGGGGATGCAGCCACAGCCCTGTGTCCCACCATGCTCAGAGGCTGTTGTGATGGGATTTAAGGGATCAGATAAGTCCACCCGCAGCAAAAGCTTGGCTGGAGCTTGGGGAGAGGGTTTGGGAGCTGCTAGGTCCGAGCTTGGCTCGTGTATAAAGGTAGGGAGGAGGCAGCAGCTCCAAAAGCACAGGCATGGGAGCTTGGCGCTGCTCCTTGTGGGAATGCCAATGGGATCTCAGCATCATTCCCTTCAGTTCATCCCAGCCCGCTCCAGCCCGTCGCCAGTAGCAGTGAACCTAAGTCCTGTTGCTGCCGGCGCCGGTGTTATCCCCGCTGCTGGCACCGGCTTTCCCTCCGGCAAATCCTTCCTAAGGGATTTAAAGGCGCTCATTCCGGTTACAAAGCCACCCACGTCCCACGGGGCTGGATTTCAGGCGCCTCTCAGGCTCAGGGCCCTGCTTTGGGGCGCTGCTTGGAGCCGAGCCCCATTCCTCATGGATGCAGCTCCGTGGTGGGGCTCTGCCCTCATCCCCCCTCATGGGCACCCGGAGCAGAAGCAGCGCCCGTGCCCTTTGCCCAGCGGATCCCAGTGTTTGCTTTGCCACCGGCCGCTCCCAGCGGAGCTCATCCCAAGAGGAGCTGCCTGAGTCACCCATCCCCGTCCCTGCCCGTCTGCAGCCCAGGTGAGGGGTTCCCAGAGCCATGAGCTCAGGGAGGTTTCACCCCTCTGAGCATCACCGTTGCTGGAGCAGCTCTGCTCCGGAGCCAGGCTGAGAGAGCTGGGCTGGGGCAGCCTGGAGAAGAGAAGGCTCCTGAAGGGGAGACCTGAGAGCAGCTCCAGTGCCTGAAGGGGCTGCAGGAAAGCTGGAGAGGGGCTTGGGACAAGGGATGTAGGGACAGGCCAAGGGGAATGGCTTTAACCTGCCCGAGGGGAGACTGAGATGAGCTCTTAGGCAGAAGCTCTTCCCTGTGAGGGTGCTGAGGCGCTGGCCCAGGGTGCCCAGAGAAGCTGTGGCTGCCCCATCCCTGGCAGTGCTCAAGGCCAGGTTGGACACAGGGGCTTGGAGCAAGCTGCTCCAGTGGAAGGGGTCCCTGCCCGTGGCAGGGGTTGGAGCTGGATGAGCTTTAAGGTCCCTTCCATCCCAAACCAGGCTGGGGTTCTACGAGCACAGGGAGCTCTGTGGTCCCTTCCCCACCAGCTTTCCCCAGCACCTGCAGCCAGCAGCTCTATAACCAAACAGCTCGTGTCAGGGCAGGCACGTTGGTGCTGAGCAGAGCAGGATGGCACCTTGCTGCTGGCCTCGGGGCGAGTGTGGAGCTTCAAGAGGCCCAAGTGATTGTCTGTGGGGCTGTGCTGAGGTCAGGGAGGGAGCATCATCACCTTCCTCCCTGCCTCAGTTTCCCCAGGCTAAGGAGTCCATCGTGTGGGTGCAGTGTCCTGGCCTGGGCGTGCTGTGGTGTTCCACACACTGCTCCTTTCCCTGGAGCAGAGCTGTTCCTTGTCCAAGGAGCTTTTCCCAATGGATCTCTGCAATGTGGGG